TGCTCATTTTACTTTCAATTTGCTCATTTTCAATTTAGTTTGCTCATTTCTATTTTATTTTGCTCACTTAAATTTCTATTTGCTCATTTCTCTTTTGTTTTGCTCATTTTTTTGTCAGGGAAACAAAACATGAATATTAATTCTGATATTCTTACATTTCTTTCTGATGTTGATAAAATCAAGGACTTGAATTGGTCAAAGTATATCCTTGATTCTCTCGTGAAGAGCAAGCTTTTATGGGAAGAACGTCCAACTCGTTCTTTTCCTGGGTCTTTATTGTTTCTTATGGTATTACTATAATTTTTGTATATTTTTAATGTAGTATTTCTTACTTATTTGTTGATTTTTAATTTACTAATTTTTCTTTTCTTACTTGTTTGTAGTTATTATATGTTGATCAATTTGTACTTGAGGAAGTTCGAGCTGCACGTGAAATTCCAATCTTGAAAGGGTGGACAACAGCTATGTTGTCAACACGTGAGAAATTGGAACTCTTTAAAGGGAGGCTTGGAAATATTCGTGCTAAAAAGCTTGATGCTGGTTCTTCTAGCATGACACAACCTAAAATGGTGTTTAACTATAATTTTCTATTTTATTTTTTTCCTTTTTTTCCTACTTTTTTTAACTTTTTTGTTTTTTATTTAGGAAAAATTCATTCCTTCTGAAGTGGAAACTCAAGTAGTTGCCAATAAGGTAACCATATATACAGTAATATTCTTTGTTCTTTTTGGAAATGACCAACTAATTTTTGCTCATTTGTCTAATGAGTAAGCAATTACTTGCTCATATTTGAAATGAGCAAATAATTTTTTACTCATTTGACAGATGAGCAAATTATGCAATTGGTTATGTGTTATAAGTAAGCTTGGTTTATATTTGTTAGGATATTTTCTTTTAACTTGTTCTAACTTTCTTTTTCTTTTTTTTTTGTTTTGTTTTTGTTTGTCTTTAGGAACAATCTGATCCAATTCGTACAAAAAATGAAGAAAGTGAACGAGATCCAAAGAAGGTATTTATATGAGTTTTCTGGAAGCCAATATTAATTTTTTGTTTATTTTTAGAGTTCTTCTCAGTATGATGCATAGAGGCAAGTGGCCATATGTGTGCTTTTGCATTACTCATATGCATGTCATGAATATAGAAAAAGTATTTTATGTAAATGTTGGTCTTTGGTTACTGCAATCTTGTGAAACTCATATATGATAAATATGTGGATATTTCTTGTGAGCAAGAGCATTATAGTTCTTAATTTTTTGCTCATTTGTCTAATGAGCAATTAATTTTTTGCTCATTTGTCAAATGAGCAAAAACTTCAATGCTCATATAAAGTTCAATTTGCTCATTTTTATATGACTTTGCTCATTCCATATCCACTTTGCTCATTTCATATTTACTCTTCTCATTTATATTTATCTTATTTATGTATTTTTTTTATTTTTATTTTTTTTTTACAGAAATGCCTTATGGAGCTTGCAACAGCATCTAAAAACCTGGTCTTGGCATACATGTATTTCAGTCAAAAACATGAAACTGCCATCAAGTATTTTTCAAACAACGAGAAGATACAAAAGTTGAAGGAAGATGCCATGGGCATTTGTGATGAGCATAAGATGAGCTCCAAAACTTTGACTGAAGATAATACTCTTTCATTTAGCCAAGATGAAGAGTATTGGTAAGATCCAGCAGTAATTGAAGCTTGGGATAGGTTTTCTCATATTTCAAGCAACAAAAAGCATGTTGAATCTTCAATCAATGCAATGGTTGTTCATCCAAATGAATCGGAACCCATTGATGTTACTAAGATTGCTTCTGAAAGTGTTCAGATAGCAAGTTGTATCCCTGATGTTGGATGTTTAGATAGGGCTGCTAAAAATGTGTTCAAAAAAATTGGAGATTCAAGTTTTAAATCTGCTTCAGGACATTCACTTGCCAAAGGATTTGGAACTCCTACATTCAGTTTAGGAGTCTTTTCTCAAGAAACTAATTCTCCCCCTAGCAATGCGCCTACTGAACCTGTAGTTGCTTCTGTCAGTGCACAAGTTGGTGCTTCTGTTGCTGATGCTTCTCCAGCTGTTGGTGATGCTCTGATTGCTAATCCTCAAGATCTCATTTCTGATGCTCAAGAAGCTTTAATTGTGCATAAGAGAAAAGGTGATACTGAAAAGAAGAGTTCTATTCCAAAGAAACGCAAACCTCAGCCATCAGTGCTTCTTAGATCACCTTTTAAGTCCCGCATTATGATAATTTACAATCCATTATCACCAGTTCAGATGAGCGTCTTGAGAGCAATGTTTGCTGATGATAAAAATCGTTTGTAAGTATTTTTTTTATCTATAGAATTTATTATCTTGTACATTAACTTCCATTTTTTTTAGTCATACTAACTTTCTTTATTCTTTTTATGCAGTGAACCAGTATTTAATGGAGAGAATGGTCTTGAAATTTTAAGAGTACATCTTGAGAATCTTTATAATAAATATAAAGTTGATACAAAGATCATTAATGCTTGGTGTAGCATTCTGAATTATAATGAGCAGTTTAGAGATCCAAATTCTCCTTCTCGTTTCTTTTTTGACCTTAGTGCTACCGTAAGTTCAAATTCTTTCATTTATTTTGTTTTATTGAATTATTTTGTTTTTTTTGTTGTAATTAATTTTTTTTTCTTTAACATGTAGGACTGTCTTATTCACTATGAGATAGATTCTGTTGCCCATCGGAATAAGATGTTTTTTGAGGTTGCTGAGAATTTGTACATGAAATCAGTTGTACCACACAAGGATATTCAGCTTTTTTTCTTCCCAGTTTATGAAGAATATCATTACTATTTGGTATGTTTTAACACTACCACACTGAATGGTAATATCGAGCTTTTTGATTATAACGAAGATGCTGGAGATCATAAACAACTTTTAAAACATTTGGTATGGCTTAAAAGTTAATCTCTATTCACATTATGTTTGTTTCTTTTACTTGAATGATTAGATTTTATTATGTTTGCTTATTTGATGTTTTTGTTTTCAGAGAACTGCTTTTTCAAACTTTATTCAATGTGAAGGAAATGTACAGAGTTCTATTTTGGCAAATGATATCAAGCGGATGGAAATTTCTGTGATTAATGGTTCATGGAAGTCTTCGGATAAAAATCATTTGCATTGTGGAGTTGCAGTGATGAGACTCATGGAAACATACATGGGTTGTGCAAAGTGGGATCCTAGTTTGAAGAAAAATAATGTAAATTCTTTGCTCATTTGAGAAATGAGCAATTAACTTTTTGATTATTTGCTAAATGAGCAAGAAATTACTTGCTCATTTATCAAATGAGCAAAGAAATGTTTGATCATTTGACAAATGATCAAGGATTTACTTGTTCAGTTCATAAATGAACAAAGAAATGTTTGCTCATTTCACAAATGAGCAACTAATTCTTTGCTCATTTAAGAAATGAGAAATTAACTTTTTGATTATTTGCTAAATGAGCAAGAAATTACTTGCTCATTTATCAAATGAGTAAAGAAATGTTTGCTCATTTGACAAATGAGCAAGGATTCCTATCAAATGTTTACTTTAATTTTGAGGTCTATGGTCCATTAATCTAGCAATACCGTAGGCCATTGCCTTACAAGTTACAACTGCAACTTGTGGTGTTACTTTTACATGTTTTCTCATGTTATTGAAATCTCCTTAATTGTATAGGGTTTGATTATGTTATTTGTTTTGCAGCTGATAATCTTGACTAAACTTCGTGAAAAGTACACCCTGGGAATAATTACAAGTGAAGTGAACACTATTCAATCTGTTAAAGAAATTGCTCAGAAGAAGAAAAAGCAAAGTAAAGTTTATGTTGCTGACAGAGAAGAAAATGCTGAAAAAGAAAAGCCTGAAGAAGAAAAAGTTCAAGGAAGAAAGAGCAAAAGACTGAAGAAAGCTGAATGTTAGGGAATTAAATAGTTAGTAGTGATGATTTGTCTTTTTTGGTTTAGGGAATTGGGTAAATTAAGATTTTATCTACTTTTAAGTAGTCTTTGAATGATGTAAAACTAATTTATAAACAGATTTTACCAATAGAAGCCTACCCTTTTTTACTATAGTGATGATTATATTTGAATTAAAATTCAATCTTTTATTTGTTTTTACTTCACATACCTTGTTATATACAGCCGTTTTCATTTGAAATATTCGTTCATTTGTTAAATGAGCAAACAGATGTTTGCTCATTAAATGATAGATCAATGAATTCTTGCTCATTTGATAAATGTTCAAAGAATTTCTTGCTCATTTGATAAATGAATAAAGAAATGTTTGCTCATTTCACAAATAAGCAACTATTTTTGCTCATTTAAGAAATGAGCTTTTACCTTTTTTGATTATTTTCCAAGTGAACAAGGAATTACTTGCTCATTTGATGATTGAGAAAAGATATGTTTGCTCATTTGACCCAAGGAGAGCTAATTTTGGATTGGGAGATGAAACAAGAGTGCAATTGTTCCAAGTTCATATAATAGCTAATTTGCTCACTTGCCAAATGAGCAAATAATTATTTGCTCATTTGACAAAATGAGTAGTTAACTATTTGCTCATTTGATTAATGAGCAAGGAATTATTGCTCATTCGAGAAATGAACAAATATTTAGTCACTCATTTGAATATGGTCTATTTTCAATTCAACAATATTGCAAAGCATTAAACTATGATTAGTACAAAATTAATAATATATTATTAAATATAAAAATTCAACAAAATCTTATATGTATATAAAAGTACCATTACACTTTTTTTGGACAATTTCTAATATCATGATGACTCAATTTACCACAACCTCTACATAATCTCTTCTTTTTTTGGTTTTTCTCTACAGCCTTTTCTTTTTCTCCCTTAAGCCTTTTTGTACTTCTACCTCTTGTTTCAACATTTGACACATCAATCTCAGTCGCTTTCTTTTTTGAAGTCTCTTCATTTGATACATGAACTCCAGTCCCTTTATTCTTTGAAACTTTTGGAGGTTAGACAATTATTTCAGTTGGCACACTAGCTCCAATCAATAGCTCAATATCTTGCTCTTTGTTTTTTGCACTTCCAGCTGTTGTTTCATTATTTCTTGCAATCCTCTTTGCTTCCAAATCCTTTCTTATTCCTTGAAGATTTATCACAAGGTCTTGAATATCTTCATCTTTGCCTTCTGCCAAACTTACACAAGTGTGTATCTCTGACCATAAATCATTTAACAATTTTTTCTTGTCTATTATATTAGCACATTGCTCCTACAGGTTTCCTCCCAAGTCAAAAATTGGTTTCTTTAATGCCATAGTAGTCCACCTGTGTAGCATATACTGCTCGGGAATGGTTTCAAACCTTTTTGCTTTTCAAACCCAAATCATATGTCTACATGGAATTCCTTGCCTATAAAATAGCTTGCAAGAACATGTGGTGTCATAGTTATTTGGATTAAACACAACATCAAATGTTCTAGCCCGATTTCCTTCACTTACTGTTGCAACTTCCAATTCATTTTCTTTCTTCAATTCATCAACACCACAAGAAAAACAAGCAATTTCAACCTCGTATTGAAAATCATAAAAGACAGAGTTAGTATATAAATGTGAGGCATGCTTTTCTATCCCTAGTGGTGTTTTGCACTCAGGATATTTGTGCTTTGAATCATTATCATTCTGACCTTGAGTGTGTCTCTGGGCATCAATTGCAGCTTCATATCTCAAGTAAAACTCAACAAGTGACACATGAGGATTGATAAAGGAGCAGAAAAAGTTATTTTCACTTTCGGATCTTGATGTTGTACGCATTATTCCTCCAAGGAACACATCTCTGAAATACGCCGGAATCCACTTATCTCTTATCTTGTACATATAACCTAACCATTCATGTTGTTCCAAGTGGTATTCAATCATCACCTTGTTCCACCTTTCTTCAAACTCAGCAGGTTCAATTTCAAGGTGCCAAACGCAAGCACATAATTTTTTTTAGGAAACCAGTTTCTTCTTGCATGATTGATTTCTCCACCTTATCTGGTAACTTTTTCATTATGTGCCACATACATAACCGATGTTCAGTCTTCTTAAACACACTTCTAATAGCAATTTTCATTGCTGGATCCTGATCTGTGATCATACAATTAGGTTCATTCCCACCCATTGCCTTGAGGAATGATCTGAACAGCCATTCAAATGACACGATATCTTCCTTTGCTATGAAACCAGCAGCAAAATTAATGCAATTCTTATGATGGTCAACGCCTGTAAATGGAGTAAACACCATGTTGTACCTGTTTACACATACAAAATAAAGTTTAAATGAGCAAATAATTTAATACTCATTTGAAAAATTATCAAATAATCGATTGCTCATTTGTCAAATGAGCTAATAACTCAGTGCTTATTTGTGAAATAAGCAAACAATTCTTTGCTCTTTTGTCAAATGTGCAAATAATTGAATGTTCATTTGTCATATAAGCAAATAACTCAATGCTCATTTGTGAAATGAGCAAACAATTCAATGCTCATTTGTCAAATGAGCAAATAATTTAATGCTCATTTGTCAAATGAACATGCAATTCAATGCCCATATACATACTCTTATCAAAGAATATTAGACTTATGGGGATATTCAATTTTCACATAGAAGTAATGAGCAATTAAACTAATTTTATTTAAAACAAAGTCATTAATTTCAGCCAGAGCTAGTAATAACACATAAATGAATTACCTATTGGTTTGGTATGTGGTATCAAAGGATACCATATCACCAAATAGAGCATAACTCTTTTTACAAAGGGGGTCTGCCCACAATGCTCTACAAAGGCAATAATCTTCATCCATCTCAAAATCAAAGAAAAAAGCGTTCCACATCAGCTTTTTGTTGGTAAAGTTATCCACGAACATTTGAGCATCGCTTCCTTGAATGTATGCTTTTAAATCTCTATGAAATTTTTTGAAATCTTCCTTAGATGCACCAATGTTTTCATATCCTCCAACAATTTCCTTCATCATTCGAAAAGTTGTAACGGGACCAATATTCACCTATTTAAAGAACAAAACAGTTTGTCACATGAGCAAATAATTCAATGCTCATTTTTAAAATGAGCAAACAATTCAATGCTCATTTGTCAAATGTGAAAAAAATTATTTTCCCATTTGTCAAATGAGCAAACAGCTTTTATTAGAACATACAGAGAATTCATGAAACATAAGAGAATTTGAAACATAAGAGAATTCATGAAACAATTCAATGCTCATTTGGCAAATGAGCAAAAAATTATTTGCTCATTTGTCAAATGAGAAAACAACTTTTATTAGAACATACATAGAATTCATGAAACATAAGAGAATTTGAAAGTGTTACCTTAGAATTATTCACAATTATTTTTTTGTGTAAAATGTTCATTTTCCTTCCTTCTTTTTGGAATAGATTGCAGCTAGGTGTATAAAGTGCATGAGTATGTCCCTCATGAAATTTTGTCACTATGAATGTGTTATCATCACAATGCTTTAGGACAATATGTGCCTTGCACCCAACACGAGTAACGAGTCTCTTCCTTTTGATTGAAGATTTTTCTTCATTGTTTTCCCCTTCCTTGTAATTTAAATCTTTTTCTACAGTAGTCTTTCTTTTTTCTTTGTATCCTTCCTTATTGCACAAGATATACTGATATTTTAATTCTTTGCTTCTTCTTTGTCTTTTAGTTGTAGACTTCCTTGTATTGAAACCAGAAGCAAATGCATAGCCTTTATAAAATTCAAGGCCCTCTTCAAGATTATTAAACTTCATCCCTATAGCTGGTTTCAACTCATTGGGGCATATTGGATGCCATTCTTTTGTTCCTCCAGGAGTGATCAAAGGTGCTACTTTAGGAGAAACTACTATTGTAGGAGTAGTTGGCACATTTGTGATGGTACTTGATTGACTCTCAACTTGTTCGTTGTTGCTCATCATTTGTGAATATGCACCTCCTTAAACACACTTAAACACACACATGCACTCTTAATAATTAGAACTGAAATCAGATTCTTAAACAAACTTACACACACACAGACATAGATACACACTTACACACACACACACACACACACACACACACACATACACACACACACACACTCAATAATTTCATAATCTATAATTATAACTGAAATCAGTTTCTGAAATCACAATTGCAAGCAGAAAGAGGAGGGGGCAGGGGGGGATAGGTTTGGTCATTTGTCAAATGAACATGCAATTCAATGCCCACATATATAAACTCTTACACTCAATCACACTCACACTCACACACAGACACACTGTTACACTCACTCACACACACACATACACTCTCACACACGCACACACATACATACACAATTCTGTATACTTAGTGTTTTTACAAGCTAATATTTGCAAAACTTATAGATCCTTGAATTAATTATGAATGTCATTATTATTTGCTCATTTTAATTGTAGTTACCTCATTTTAAATGTTCTATTATACATATTTAGGTTTGCTCATTTTAATTTATTTGCTCATTTTGAATTTGATTGAAAATAAGAACATAATAACAGCAAAGTTCAATTTGCTCATTTTTATATGACTTTGCTCATTCCATATCCACTTTGCTCATTTCATATCCACTTTGTTCTATTATACATATTTAGGTTTGCTCATTTTAATTTATTTGCTCATTTTGAATTTGATTGAAAATAAGAACATAAATAATTGATTCAATCACTATAAAGTTTAATCTGATATTATTAAAATCTCTATCAAACCTAAATAATTGATTCAATTCAATCAAATAATTGATGCAATTAAACATTCAATTCGATTAATGTAATTCGAAAATTAACATGCAATTCCAAATTTTTCAGAGATGTAAAATCAAAATATATTGAATATTCAGATTAACATGCAATTCAAAATTAAAATTACAAACAAACCTTAATGGTGGTGAAATTGCGACCGTTGAAAATTGCAGAAAGAAACCGCTGAAATTTGCCGAAAGAAGAGCATACTCAGTGAATCGCCATCGATAAGTAAATTGCCATTGATGAGCTTTGATTTGCAGACAGAATAGAGGGGAGAGATAAATTAGATGCTGAAAGTTAGTTGTAGGCAGACTTATAATCTCAGCAGTTGGATTTCATCTAATCTAGCGGCTGAGATTTGTTCTCACATAAGGTGTGGATTCTCACATAAAGGGTGGTTCTCACCGGATCCCGGCCCTATATATATATATATATATATATATATATATAACTCTTCAAAATAAATTCTATCAAAAACAAAAAAAACAAAACAAAAAAGCTAGACAAAATGAGTTTTATTAAATTCTGACATTATTACAAGATTAACAAATTTCAGATGAAATAGTTCATACTCCGTGCTAAGTAAGTTAACACTCAATACACACAAACAACAAAAAAATTGTGCAAGTATAAGCTCCATCGTCAAAATAAGTTAAATATAAATGATACCACTTACTAATTAGTTCACTTTAAAAGTTGAATTTGAAAAACCATTTTTGGATATCAAAGACTTTGATGCAAGTAAAAGAAACCATAAAGGGCCTCATAAGCATAGTATTGTATTATTATGTGTGTATAATCAAATCATTTGGGTCAACAATAAGGATTCAATTGACTTGATTACATTACAAATCAGATGTCATATATTAATTTGTTTGACCACAGTTTCAATTTTTTTTATATTCATCAATTATAAATTATTTTTATAACTAATTCTAATCTTACATACAATATAATGCAACATAACATAAATCACAAGAAAGATACCTATTAACGGTACACTTATGAGAGCTTAAAGAAGAAGAAAAAAGAAAAGAAAAAAAAAACCGAGTAATATCCAGGTCAAACTACAAGCTGCCTTCAAGGAGTAGAAAGAAAACAAGTCAAAAGCTAAATCCCATCAATTTATCATGTGAAAGAAATTTGTATTGAAAGAATGGTTAGAAAAATTCTCTATAATCATCTAAACTTATGTACACAAGATCAACATGAGCTATAGCCAGGAATACATACACACGACGAAATTAAAAGGCGACAACTACAAAGAATACAACAAAGAGGAAGCTAAGAGAAAGATACAACAAAAATCCAACAAAATATAAAGAACATAAGCAACAACCTCTGGGAGCTAAATCCTACTTCGTATTACATAGCATCCAAATATTAATTTCCAGAATATTGAGACTTTTTTAAGGTTCTCAAGCCATACGCATCATCAACCACAACACTAGTTTTCATGGATAAATTTCCAACTAGAACGTAAAAACTGAAAAGACAGCTAACATCTAAACGGTAAAAGGGCGGTGTGATGCTTTGCAGGATCCGGACACCATGCATACGACTTCAACTCCAAAACCTCAAGGTAATGTTCATCTCCAAATAGTCTCCCAGTCCAGCTTCAGTCTCTGAGTCAAGGTTGCCTTCAACAACTACAAACAAATAGATCTTATCAGATAATATTTACAATAAGAAAAGGAAAAAAAAAACAGATTCTAAGACTGAACAGACATAAACCAAGCATTAATATTACTTATGGTATATTACTTCAAACATTCCCATGAGTAAAGTTAAAAGTAAAAAACCAGATTAGCCAATATATTCTGCAAGCATGTCTCCTGAATCCTGCTTTAGGCAGGGCAATAAGCATGACCTTCAAGGACTCGTTAAAAACGCCACAGAACAACCTATTAGAGCAAACGTTTCTACAAGAATTATATAACAGTAGCATTGTATAGCAGACTTTAGATCAAATTTGTATGGAAGGGACTAATATATTCACCATTTTGTCAAGGACCTTTTATGTCGAAAGTTGTCTAAAAAGACCTTATAAGTATGTTTTGTTGTTTATAAAGACCTTGACATCGGAATTCGGCGTTTAACTTTGATTTCCCGGCATTGACCCCCACATGCATGTCACGTGACATTAAAAAAATTACCCTCTCCCTTTTTTTCCCTTTTTCCCTCCAACCCTAGCCTTCAAAACACTAGCAAAGTCAAACACCGGATTCCAATGTTAAGGGGAAAAAAGTGAGAGGGTATTTTTATTAATGCCATGTGACATGCACGTGGGGGGGGGGGGTCAATGTCGGAAAATCAAAGTCAAAACGCCGAATTCTAATGTCAAGGTCCTTCCAAACAACAAAAATCTTCAGAATATAAGGTCCTTTCTGACAAAATAGTGAACATATAAGTCCCTTCTAGACAAATTTTCCAATTTTCAAAAATCTTTGAAGTCTATCATGGTTTGTATATCATAGGTTGATAGTAAGAGGCTTGTACGTTATTACCACAACAAAGTTGAGAGTTTTTACTATGCTTGGTATGTTCACATTAACATTGAGAACAAAATGAGATACATGAACATGACCAAGTTCAGGATCCTACTATCTTTTGCTACAAGTATATTATAAGACCTAGTCCTTACACGAGCCTTTCCCAAAGACTTGATCACATTATAGCACAAACCTCATAACTTGCTACCTCTAGCAATGGCTATGCCTATCGCACCTATCAAGTCTAGGAATCACCAAGGAACAGTTCGATAAAGCAGCAGGCACGAAATTTTGTAAATTAATAGAAGAGAAAATTCCAAGATTCATATTAATTCATCAGGAAAAATAAAAAAAATAAAAAAATAAAATAAAAAAAAAACTCCCAACATTCAAAACTTAAAGGAGATGATAAAAGATCCACAGGTATCATTCATGAGATTAGCAACTTCTACAGACAAATAAATCTCCAAACTAAATGAATAGAAAATAATAATTAAATGTTATATAACAAAAAGTTTCATTCAGTAGCTTCCAGTCCAGTGTAAGTTGTAACAACAAACTAAAGACCAACTTAATTATGATGTAAAGAACCTACAATCAACAAAATCTTCATATTTATTCAAAAATCAAGTACATCAAATAAAGTCTAGATCATGCAGATAGACCTGTAACACCAACTGAAAGAGTATACCATGAAACCCAGGCCAGAACATATATTACATAATGGGCGAAGAAATTAAATGAGTACTGTATAGTTTGCAGTGCAATAGGTAAAATTTCACTATTTACACCAAAATAAGATAACCTGTAGGAGCTTATAAGAAGCCAATTACAATTCAAAACGAAGAGCAGATCAGCATGAATTCAAAAAGACACATATAACACCAATCAACACAAATGCACGCGCACGTAAATCGTACACACACAAACAATATTTGGTCCTGTCTTATAAAACAATATTGGAGTAACCTAAAGCTTTTTCATAGATGGCCCTTAATCACATATCTAAAAATTAAAATAAGGATTTCTCAATGCTATACTGTTAATAAATAACAAAGGTTTATAAATTCTATACTTGAATGAAGCAGCAGCACGTAATAAAGGTCATTTATAAAGTTAACAGAAATGAAACAAAGATGGCTAGGTGGATAAAATGGCATGAGAGAAATAAGAGATGGTAAATTACTTACCTCCTACATGAGAGTAGAAAAGCACACCCCAGAAACATAAGGAACATGAGTGACTTAAGAAATGAATCATAACTTGTGACCCAAAAAAGGTAGAAGCTAAGAAGCACAGTGAACCCCCAGTCATCCAGCCTCAAAAGCAAGCATAGTAGTAAATATCAGCTATTCAGAAGTTATCCTCCTCCTCTTCCCATAGTCAGCATCTCTAGATCTTGGACGCTCTTCTTCTTGGGACACACGGGACTTACTATGAGTCCTCGATGGCCGCCTCTCCCATTCTTCATCATAATCTGCTTCACGGTCCCTGTACCTATGATGATCAGCATATCTATCTCTGTCTTCTCTGTAGCGATCCCTGTCCCTTTCTCGCTCACGATCTCGATCACGAGAACGCTCACGATCACGGTCGCGTGAGCGTTCACGATCACGGTCCCTCTCACGGTCACGAGTTTCTCTGTCATCACGATGTCTTCTATCCGGCCATTCATGATCGTGTGCTGCCTCTTTCTCCCTAGGTATATCCCTGTCATATCCAGGCTCCCTATCTTCCCGATACTTCCTATCAGAAGACCCTGAAAAGTCTCTATCAGGAACCTTTTCTTTAACAGGATTCTGCCAACCAGTCCGGTCGTGACTTGCCTCTCCATATTGATGGTCAGACACAGCTTCTTCCCCATAGCTAGACTCAGCAGCTCTCCCAGCATGCTCATCACCAGCCCATGCACCCATATTGGGATCAGACCACATACCCATATTAGGACCATCAACACCAGCATTAGGCATCATTCCCATCCCATTCATGGGCATGCCTCTTCCAAAGAATGCAGGATTCACGTGTGGAGCTACTCCAGGCAGGCCAACATTACCCACAGGTGGGAAATTTGACATTAATCCTTGAAATGGAGGTTGAGGTCCACCCGGGAATCCACCATAATTGCCCATTCTCCCCATAGGCCCTCCAAAACCAGGATCAAAACCTTGACCCATCATGGCTTGAGGATGCATCATCGGAGGAGATGGCCCCATACCTTGACCAAACCCATTGCCACCATTCCCCATAATACCTCTTCCAGCCATCCCACCAGCAGGCCTGTTTCTTATAGGTCCAACTGGGCCCCTACCACCCATGCCTTGAGGATTGCCTCTCCCCCAACTGCCTCTCATAAAATTCCTGTTTTGATCCCCACCTTGGTAATTGCCACCAGTTGATATGTTGTTCCCAGTTGGCTTATTTCCACCCTCAGCAGGGCCTCTCCTAGGTTGTGAAAGTGTTTGTGGTGTCGTCTGTTGATTTCTATTAACCTGTGCCTCACCCATCCTCTTGACAGTAAATGGAGAAGCAAATGCAACGACACATGGCCTGCCATTGAAAACATGTCCATTCATTCCCTCCTTACAAGCTAAAGCAGCAGCAGCATCATAGAACTCAACCTGGCAATATCCCTTCGACTTCCCACTAGCCTTTTCATCAAAGAACTTAACTTCTTTAACATTCCCATACTTGACAAGCTCAGTTTCAAGTTCTGCATCCGTAGTCCACCAATGCAAATCTCCAACAAAAAGAACATTCCCACCACCCCCTCCACCACCAGCACCACCCATACCAGCACCCATTGGCGTAACTTGCACAGCAGAACTTCCTGTTCCACTCATGTTCCCAGCAGTCCCATTCACAACCCCACCTCCACCACCCTGTCTAACAATTCCCTCATTTCCTACACTCATACCATGTGGTTGCTGGGGTTGACTAATCCCTTGAGGTGGCATACTATTAACTGCTTGCTCATCTACATCACCTACTTTACTTGAATGCGGCCCTAACTCAACCCTCAGTCCACCTCCATAACCACGTCCTGCACCAGACACCCCAGCTCCTGAACCAGAACCCATACCACCATTAGGCTGTACAGGGCCTTTAACATCATTCCCTCTTAAACCCTGATTCTGAAACCCATCTACTCTACCCACATCACCCTCAAACTTTCTCTCTCCCTCACCCTGCCCAACACCCGGTATCGACAACCCATCATCCTCAGACAAAAAGGGGGGTGGAGGATGCTGAGATTGAGACTGAGGAGGTTCAAGCCTACTACTTTCACCATCATTCCTAAACCCTACTTCCTCGTTTTTCCGCAAAGATTGCAAAAACCCTTCTCCTACATTAACATCATTATAAAGATCTTCGTAATCATCATCTTCCTCACCAAAACCCTCATCAGTAACCGCAGAAATCGCTTCATTACGGTGGAATTGCTCCACCTGATCTCCTCCCCCTCCTCCTACTCCTTCAGCATCATCCATCTCTCCCCCTTCTTCTCTAAACCTCTCAAATTGTTAAAATTAGGGTTAGCTTAGTGACTTCTAGCTAATTAACGGCAAAATTAAGCAAATTTAGTGCAAAAATACAGCGAATGTTGCACACAATTTCAAACAAATTGAATCCATAAACAGAAACAACAATAAAAATTGAAATTCTACGGATTTGACTTACCAGAAAGGAAAGAAATTGCAGACGACGAGTGTTGGATTGGAGGGAAAAGGGAGAGAAATGAAAGGGAAAAACGAAGAGAGAGAAAGTTTGGAAACCCTAATCTGGAAGATTGTGTGTGATTTGAAAAGAAAAGGAATAACTTAATTTTAAAAATAAAAATAAAGGGATTTTCGAGAGAGAGAGGGGTGAAAATTCTGATCCGTATTCCATTGTGTCATCAGACTCATCACTAAATAAGTTAATGGTAATTTTACGAGCAAGTCCGGGTTTATCTCCTTCCTCGGTCACTTTTTTTTAATTAGTTAAAAAAATAGTTTAAAAATCAAGTGATAAATATCGTAAATAAACGATAATAAAAAGTCAAGATGGTATTTTTAAAAGAAAATTATTAACTAAGGGCCTGTTCATATTTACTTATTTTCAATTCAGTTCAGTTTAGTTCAGCTCTTAATTTCCCTTTCTCATAAAATATTCATTTCAGCTTAGTTCAGTTCAGTTCAGTTCAGCTCAATTCAGTAAATATGAACAGACCCTAATAAGGGTTCGTTAGGCATTGTTGTGGTTTTCAGTTTTTTTTTTTTTTGTATTTTAAAAGTGTATAGTATATGTTATATAATTAATTAAAAAAAATAGTCAAACTTATTAAAATCATGCTAATTTAGAAAACTGACAACATAAAAGTGAAAACACATTTTTCTTGTTTCCTGTTTTTTGTTTTAAAAAAAAAAACTGAAAACTGAAAATAAAAAATAATGCCAAACAAGCCCTAAGGCCACATCAAAAGAAAAGTTGTTGATTTTTCAAGTAGATGAACTTGGAATTTCTTGTAATTATGTTCTTCATGTTTCACCATCACAATTAATATTTGGAATTCAATGCATGAATTTGAAATTGGGAATTACTTATTGATGTAAAAAAATTATTTATGTGCACCGAAATAAGTGATTGTCTTATAGTTATTTAAATCCACCCTCACCTTATTTTTTAACTCTACTTTTTTAGGGTATATCTTAATTGAATTGAACCAAATGGAGTAATATCGTGTTCATGTGGTGTGCTTATTTGGGTGAGTTTATATTGGGTGAGCCTAAGTTTTCGCAAATTAGAGAATGGTCACTCAAAATTTACAAGTACCTTAATACATGTGTCTTCTAGTTATTATTATTTTTTTTAATTATTTTCTATAGATCAATGGTAGCACATCATAAAGGTGGTCCCACGGTGGATCTCATTTCCTCCTAAAAAAATTACATCATTTAGTGTTTTATTCTTGTTAATAGTTAATAGAAAATTTTCGATATTAATATCTTTGATAGGGTTAAAATGTTAAATTAATAAAAATTTGATATTTGAAAAGTATAATTCAAGACAAATTTAATAAGATCACACACAATTATATATATTTTTTCTTATATATAAAGAGCAAAAGATAGTCAAAGAGCGATGTGTGACTAGTGAAAATTCAAATTGTGCTATTAAAAAACGGAGGAAGTATTTCGTTAACAGCTTACTTATTATGTAGTATTATTGTAATTTAGGTTATCAATTAAGTTTTACAAGTTTGAATTTGAATCCATAGACCATTTCCCGTTAGATAAATTAATGAAGATATAGGTTTATTAAGTTCTATGTCTGCTTATTTAACTTGATATCATATCCGTAAGGGTGATAATATTTCAGCTCATTTGGCGGCTAGACTACTACCTCGAAATGGGGTGAAACATGTATTTCTAAGCTCTTTCCCACATGAATACATGACATTAGTGCCTTGGCGGAACTTACTTTATTGGAATAAAATCCAACCCCGATTTTTCCAAATAAAAAGTCGTGTCACTTTCTTCTGTTTTTAAGATACTTTGTAAAAGACAACTTATCAATTGTAGCCTTGTAAATTTGAGTTTTTTTTTTTTTAAAGTAAACTATTTATACCTTATAATATACATATGTTTTTTTTTTCTCTTCAGTTTGACAATTTCCATACATACCCAAATGAATATTTTTGAATATCTTTTATATAATATATATTTTGTAATGTTATTGTCAAAAATATTTAACAACTTTAACCTAATTTTGGACTTTAACACCAAAAATACCGGTTATTAGAGTCCTCAAGGACGCACATTATTAAAGGTTTAGCAAATCTCTGTAAATTTAGTTTCTTTATCTACTTATTAAGTTTTTACAATTACAAGTACATGATTCATCGTTTTATTTGTACCATGAAACATCGAATTGTTAAATTGATTCAGGTCATCGGGTGGTGTTCGTATTGGTTTTTCTTTTCTACTCCATAATACGGAGTAAAAAAATACACCGTATTTATGGTGTACATTTTAGTTCCTCTTCAAATAAAATACAGTATTAGTCTCCACAAATTTCTCTCCCGATTCAGCAACGATCTCCTCCGGCTAAGAAAATCGGCAGGTAGAGCTTCTTCTTTCTTGTTTCATAAATTTTGCCCTTTTATCTGTTATAATCAACTATTATGCATTTTAAACTTTGTTATATTTCCCTAATGATTTTGAGTTTAATATAATTCTAGTATCAATGCAAGTGAAATTATTTTTGGGGGTGTGTAAAAATTTAAAGAAGAGTCATTTTTATTTGATTGGATTGATTAAATTTTGTGGGTATGAGAAAAACTCCATAAAATCAAGAATAGGAAACAAGGGTTTTAGATATGTGGTTGTGTAAGGGAAAGATGGAGTTTTTAGAGTATGCACATCAGGTGTTCGATGAAATTCCGCAGAACAAAATGAACGTTGATTAACAAAATTGGAATCTTGGAATATAAGTTCTGTTTTTCTTAGTAATGGTTGTTAATTACTCTATCAAATAAGCAAATTTAAGGTACACAGTAGTGATTTGGAGGCTAGTTTGTTAGCAAATGATTCATTAGCAGACCCCAGGTAGTGAATTGCATTTGAGTATTGCTTGGTAAGCTCTAGGCAGTGATTAGATGAATATGTCATTTGATTAATTTGATTACGCAAGCTAGATTTGCTGATGGGGTGCTGTGTAATGCTTGATCAGGTACTTTGTTGTCATTTGAGTAAGCTAATACTGTAAAGGCTACTATTTCTAGTAAAAATCTGGAAAGGGAAATTTCCGACGAGAATATTTCAAGCAATTAGCTAGGTTTGAAAGAAGCAATTGTTTGATGGCGTTGAGACGTGCTCTTGGGTGGTCTGATGGTGAGCTCATGCGATCAGATGCGAAGCCTTGCTCAAGATTAATGAGACAAACAGCTGGGATTTTTACAGTTGGTGGAGCATTGGGTTTTTGGGTCTTGTGTAGAATGCACTATGGTATGTGTGTGTTTTTTTGTTTTTTTTTTTATTGATCTTAATCTGCTTCATTACAAGTTTGCACTACTCTTTACTACATGGTGTATACTGTTTCATACCAGTTTACACATTCGCATCCCTGTCTTCCTTTTTTATTGTATTTGTCATACCTCCATTAATCAAAGATAAAAACTTGTGAGGAACTACCTGTTATATAGGTCTTTTGAATTATATGTAGTAAACAAAGCTTGAGAAATTTATGGTGCCTCTGCTACTGAACTTTTGTACGTGGCGATAGCTATAATACTCAAAATTATACAAGATCCCTCATAGTTTTGGTACCTATTTGTACTACAAATTTCTATGTAACCCTGTTTATGGTAGTTTGATTTCAATTGATTTAGCTCCTCTCCCTTCACCCACCTGGTTGGAGAAGTCATTCCTTACGTAAGGTTTGAAGTTCCTCTCCAAATCCTTTGGGCACTCATTTCTACCTCTAGTAAGCTATGTAGGGCTCATGGAGACATGGACTCTCACCCTCCCTTTACCCCAAACCTCACCAAGAAGCCCTTTGGACAAATAGGGGTGCTTTATTTCCCCTTTTTTGTAAGCAAATCAATGTACAAGACCAGGAAGTATATCTAGACAGTTGGGGGAATGTCTTAACTTGCAAAAGTTATTCATTACTTTTAAAAGTTTGAACAAGAACACTGCGTGGATGAGAATAAAATAGGAAAATCCAAAACATATGCATACCATGTATCAATGTATGATTTCTCAGTTTCTCCCTATATATCCTTGTTGGGGGAATCACCTCTAAGGTCATTTGGTTGTAAGCAGATATATTTTGTCAATCTTATCACTTAAACTTTCCAATGTGCCGCTTGTGATTTTCACTTGAATTAGTTCCCAACCTTTGAAGAATTATAGCAGCTGACATGCTCATAATATCTTTGCATCATTCTAATGTACCAATGAACATAGAGTAAGTGAACTAAATTCTTAGTGTATTCTAAAGTTTGAGGCCTTTAGCTGAGAAAGTTTCTATATGCAGGATTATAAATTTCATCGGATGATCAAACTGATGATCTTGATCTATCTTTGCTTACTTTCAATCTGTCATTACCCTCATTGGTCATTACCCTATCTGCCCCCAGACTTTTTATTATAGCTATTTTGATAATGGCTATTAGCTTCAGCATACTGTTTAATCTTTAGGACTGAAAAGGATTATTGCAGTTAACGTAATATGAATAAAACAGATGGAGCTCAAAGTTTATGTTTATGTCTTCCTTTAGGAAATTGGAACTTCTTGCCCTATCAATTGATGAAGACTAGAAAGTGTGGCCATGCCATTACCACAGCATAATTAGCTGCTATTAATTTATAATGTACCTAGTCAGTTTCATATATTATTTTATCCCTTGTGTTAGAGATTCCTTCATGTATACTTGTGGCCATGAATGAAGTGATCAGTCTGATAGCAGTTGTGCAGATGGGTTAATGTCTACATCTCTTTTATTGAGAATTCGAGGTGTGGTTTTGTCAAGTCAGTCCCAATATTAACTAAAAGGAATATAACACTGAGAATACAATTATATGCTCCATCATTAAGCAGTCAAAGAGAGTACTGGAGTGAACCAGTTGGGATTATATTCAAAAGAGTGAGGTTTGAAGTATACCGGGCTGCATGAGGATGGCTCACGCTGTAGATTCATGCTTTTAGTGCTCCTCTATTTTACTCTGTCTCTCTGTTTCACATTAAGTATCTGTGTCAGATGCTCAACTCTTGAACATAGGTGTTAGAGTATTAGACACTTCAATTTGGATCAATAGTAACCAAATTTCATAAATTGGCCATGTCCGACCCTGCACATACTGCACTTCTTACCAAATCTAAGTAACATAGGTGCTTGTACTGAATTGCTTTGATGATGATAATATTTTATAACCTATGCAATTGTAATGATCTTTTCTGCATTAGTTCGTAGATGTAGTACTAGTACTATTCCTCCATTTAGTTTGTCACAGAATTTTCACTGGGCAAAAACTTTGACTCTGAGCTTGCTGAAGATTATCCTGGTGTTAGATTATTCTTATGAGCGAGATAACATTAGGCACATCAACTGCTAAATCCAAATTTCACTGGAAGGTGCCAAATAATCAGGTTGTATCTTTAGAGCTTGCTATGGGAATATTAGTTATACTCGTATTAAGATGATTTATTTAAGAGCTTACGTTTACCTTAGTCTTGTGTTATTTTTGTCCTCAAGTTTTATCACTGGTGATTTTGTCATTCACCAAGTGTTAGATACATCAACAGATGTAGCTAAATTATACTACGCAATTGACATGAATAATTCAAAGTTTCAATCGTCTTAATATATTCCACCTGTAGATAATCTAGACAGTCACAAAGTCCTATTTTTTGGGTGTATCCCGACTCTCTTCTCAAGATAGTCTAGAAGTGTTTGTATTTTCTACTGTATATACTAGTACAACATACAAAATTAGACCCAGCAAAAATTAGAAATATTATTTTTAGACGATTATGATTATGTCCCTTTAAAACGTGTGATTATTTAGCTTATAATACAAAAGTGCAATTAAATTAAAAAGATTCTTAAGTGCGGCACTTTTGTTGTTTTCATTTATTTTCATTCATTCTTGTGGTTTTCTGTCTGGCAGGATCAAGAGTAACAATTCCCAGAAGTCTCAGATGGGCAGCTTGTGGAGCTGTATCCGTTAGCTCAACAACAGCTCTTCTGGTCCGCCTTTTGAGTCCTGAATGTGAACCCCAGAACATAGTTGCTTATGACAATAAAAGCTGAGTTGCCTTTTAAAATCAATGTAAGATGTATGTTATCCCTTGTATGGGACAGTCATGTAACAAACTTCTAACATGTAGTCACTCAATGTGAGAAGTGGTCTTTTGATTGATTTATTACGAGTGCTCGCCAAATTGTTATTCTTGGATTTAGTTTGATATAGGGTTTTTCGGTTTTTCCCAAACCAATACCTCTTTCACGGTTTTGCCTAAAATTAGTTGTAAAATTAGTTGTCACATTATCGTTATTTATGATTAGAGTTTCTTCCTTACCATCAACTTAATAGATGCCCTTGCTTTTTTTTTTTGGGTGAGGGCTAGAATTTGTTATATACACCCGGGATCATTTGTTCATTCAATTAACAAATGAGCAAATAATATTTTTACTTATTTGTTGATTGAATGAGCAAATGATCCCAAGTGTACGGTACACATAGGTATACATAATAGGCTCTCGGAGGGGTGTTCCTAATTTCATATGCGATCCATCTACTAAATAACCAATCGATTGTTTTAGGTTGTTCATTTGCGCAGAAAGGGCAAATACAAACAGGTTTGCATAATCAAAATGGGTAAAATTAAAAGTGACTTCCTCTCTAATAATAGCGCACCTACACAAAAACACATCATTATTGCAGCGAACAAACTTCCACAGTTCTATGTTTGCTTCAAAACAAGCTTTAAACCAGAAACCAACATTGCAAACCTTTATAGGTTGTTAATTTTTGTTGTTTTGATTGAATTAAGGAGGCGTTTGGTTAGTGTATCTTTTGGATTGAAAACGGATTCGATTAAACCGATACCATTACCGTGTGTTTGGTTTGAAGGCATGATAACAATTACCACTACCTAAGGGTAATGGTTACCCCTCATTTGTTACCTCTCAAAAACTTGGGGTAACAAATACCCTTACCCCCCTCTTAACAAATACCCTTTTCATGGTTAAACCAAACAAATGAAAAAGTAATAGCTAAATGATTCCTTTTCCCCCTCTTATTTATTTCCTTTCCACTCCATTTCCATTTTCCGAACCAAACACCCCCTAAGTTTTGTTAGATTCCATAAGTAATGATAGGCTAAGCAAAAAAAGCAAAATTTTCAATAAAATGATGCATTAAGATTTAAGGCTGTGGAGTAAAAGATTTTAAACAAATTCGTTCATTTGTGAAAATGAGTAATTGATATGAAATAATACATTGTAAGACAAGCACATTTGCACAAATGTTTTTGTTACTAGTTACTATTTATTCAAGCTTGATTGGCACACTGCAAATATTTTTATGTACACATTACCTGAGATTGAAGAAAAAAAAAAAAAACACCCTTTTGCAGATGACTTAGAGCGAGGTGACCAAATGGACAGGTTGGGTCGGGCTTTTATATAAAAATATCGTGCTCAAACCCGCTAAAAAGGTGCGGGCTTTTGCGGGATTTGAATTAAAAATGCATATTTTTACTTGCCCAAACCCGCACTTTTTTCGGGCGGGTTGGACTAGGTCGACGGGCTAGGCCATAGATGATCAACTCTAAGATGACTTCCTTTTTTTTTTTTTTTTTTTGAAGAACTTCACATTTTGCAAGTTATGTGAAAATAGAAATTTTAAACGAATACAAGAATAAGAGGGTGAGGAGTGGGGGGCAAAATCCTAATCTCCTAAATAATCTCGAACATAAACAAGGGTTTAGTTGATTCTTGTCATTCTTCTACTTCGATGACCCATTCCACTTGCTCCATAACACGGGTTTATTCGTTTTGTAATCTATAACATTAATCCCTTGATCTGTTACAATCCAATTGCAATCTTTATAATCACAATGGTGATAAAAATCACTTCTCATAGTAAAAACATCACTTTTCATGTAGCCATATTTGTTAGACCAAACATTGCACCAATAAAGGGTAGTGTTAAAGATATTTGGTTTAAATTTCCATGAAAATGCTTGATGAACATTTAGTATGTGAAAACCCAAATCATCATTCTTTGATTTGCAATTAATTCTGATAGGTTGATTGCCAGGCAATTCATTCTTTATTGAGACGTGAAGATCCGCAAATATGACTACATATTGATTTAATATGACTATTGCAAATAAAACTATTCCCCAAGAAAATTTATACATAATGTTTGCCTAAATAATGGAATATTGGTTAGCTAGTTTGAGTGTATTATAGAAAATGGTTTATTTGAAGGTTTTTATAAGGCATATCACTTCTAAATTTTGTACGGTGAAAATATGTGTGTTATTACCTCCTAAATTTACTCTTTGATTTCTCATGGAATTTGGATATCCATTATAATGTATATTATTTAAGTATATTACTAAAAAAAGGAATGATTTTCTTCATACAAATCATAGTAAAAGAGAAAATAGATTGTTGGTAAAAATAGGTTTTTTATTTGAACAAATAACTTATACTTTGTATATGACACTTGTCCATGGCTAACTTATAAAAATAAATAACCTATCTATACAACTAAAGTAATCACCAAAGAGACACTTGACATAATTTTGTGAAAAAATTTTCCCTCCAAAAGTGCTATTTACTTATATTATTTCCTTACAAAAATTCTATTTAAAAAATTAAAATTCTTTTAATAAATTTTATTTATATATATAATATGCAACACATAAGGATTTAAAAGATAGACATTAAAAAATTCAAATTTGAAATAAAATAAAATTGTTACATAAGTCATTTAATTTCAATCAACTATTTGTTAATAAATCTTACTTTATGAATCCGTGCATTGCACGGGACCAAAAACTACGGAGTAGTAAATAATAAAAACTTATAATAGTTTTTTTTTTCAAAATTTCCTACAATATTAATTTTGTTGATTTTCGTCATAATATATACTTCCTGCTTTTTTAAATACTTGCAACAAATCCCTAAAATGGAAATGTCAATACTTGCAACACACTATAAATGCAAGGCCGACCCTTAGGGTGTGCGGCATGCGCAACCGCACAGGGCCCAAAATCGCTTGGGCCTCAAGTTTACAATTATATACAAAATTGTTGTACAAATTTCTAGTGTTATTGTTATGGCTTAGTGGTAAGTATGGTGATACTAAGTTTTGTAGATACGTGGTTCGAGCCTTGCTTATGTACTTTTTTTTTAAATTCCATTCCTATATTTTGAAAGATTGTAACAATATTTATATTTTTATCCCCAATAATAATGGTTCCTTTGCTCAATTTCATTTTTAGAAAATATTACCATTCTCTCTCGTCTTTACAATACCCCGTAAATACTTTTATAACTTATTTTTATTTTTGCTTTTCAACATATTTTGATCTCTTCAATATTATTACAAAAATTACATATATTTCTTTATTCTAAACCTCTTCAACAAATAAATCATAGCGGAGCATTTAATAAAAAAAATGCAATATTATTATACGTTACTTAAAAAAAAGAGGGGAGGGGGGCCAAATGTATCTCAATTGCACAGGGCCTCCATAATAGTTGGAACGGCCCTGTATAAATGGATAGTTTTTTGGGAAAAAGTTGTACTATTTTTCTTATTTAAAGCATATGACCCACTGTACTCTAAAAAACCTCTCACCTCATTTTAAAGTGTATTACATCATGTGAACCCTACTTCTCTTAAATAGCGTAAAAAAATGTGTGTTATATCTATTAAAAAACGGAGGAAGTATATCTTTATTAGTAGTTGTTTGATTTCTTGTAAATTATTTTGATTAAATTAGGTTTCATTGAATTCTATAAATAATGATCGGCTAGGTAATTTTTTTTTATAAGATGGTACATAATTTAACCAAAACATACTTCCTCTGTTCTTTTTTACTTGACCTATTTCTTTTATCACGCTTGCCAATGAAAAACTTTAACGATTAATAATTCATAAGTAAAAATTATAAAAGTTATATATTATGATAGTTTTCTTGAGACGAATTCAAAAATATCCAACATGAACATGTTTTTCCTTACAAATTATTCACAAAAGACGGTCAAAGGAGGAGTGGTGAATAGTATAAAAGTCAAAGCAGGTCAAGTAAAAAAGAACGGACGAAGTATATGTTTGTTTGAAAAAAATAAACAATCGTCTGTACATATGGTAAGGTGCACAAAGTCGTTTTTATAATACGAAGTAGTTGAGAAAATGAACAATCGGTTGTACATGGTAAGGTGTACAAAGTCGTTTTTTATTATACGGAGTAGTTGAGAAAATGAACAATCGGTTGTATATTGTAATGTGCACAAAGTTGGTTTTATTATAATTGAGAAAATGAGCAATCAATTATAAGTGTAAGGTGCACAAAGTTTAGTTGTAAGGCCAAAAACTCAAAGTTAGTAACATGGATATTGTGAAAGTCCATAGAGTGCGAGGTAGCTCAAATGGTTAGCGCTTTCCTTCCGATTTCATGTGATCCTCTGTTTTACTTTTTACGTAGGATAGAGAAAAGTATTTAGACACATTAGTTTTAATGTTTTGGTATATACATAATACTATGAAGTATAATTTAATGTGGATCATGTGGTTGCCTAGATAGATAAAGTGAAAATTTTCTTTATATAACGTGTAAAGAATAAAGAAAAAGTGGGAAGATAAAAAAGAACATATCGTAACATAAAGTCGAAAGATAGATAGATAAAAAAAAGAAAAAAAAAGAAGAAGAAGAAAGTATGTTTTTAAAATATCAAAATTTATTATTTGTGCATTAGCATTTAGCAAGCAAGAAATTCCAAATAAAGCGCTTAACAAGAATGGAAGAAGTATAACTCATCAACTACAGTCAAGTTTTCTTGCTTCGAGATCTTTAACCAAAAAACAACAATGTATAACAAAACTGAGCAGGTTAGATGTACTCAGTATGCGATACTTTTACAAGAAGTACAATATTAAGATTATTGAAGGGAAAAAATAATTAAAAAAAAAAAAGAAGTTGTAACGTCTGACATAGCTAGAAGTAATCTTGTTTATCACAAATTCACAACCATAGTGATGGAATGATTTGAATTAAAAAGAAGAATATTGTTTACCAAAAATTGCCAAGTTACATATGTTTTGTTGCAAGATTATTATTGTTGCATAGCCTATTGAGGGGATGGACTAGGTGATCCTTGTTGCTTCTCATCATTCCACTTGTGACAAAGCACAGGGTTGCCAATTTTAACATCAATAACATTAATGCCTTGATCTGTTATACTCCAAGTGCAATCTTTATAATTACAATAATGATAAAATTGTTCTTTCTCTGAGAAAACTTTACTAGATACATAACCATATCTTGACCAAATATTGCACCAATATAAGGTTGATTCAAAAATATTTGGAGTGAATTTCCAAGTAAATGTTTCCTTGTTTTGAAGTATGCTATCCCCTAAATCATCATCCTTTGATTTGCATTGATATCTCAAAGGGAGATTATCAGGCAAATCATTCTTTATTGTAACATGAGTATACCAACTATTTGGCCATCCTAAGATGACTTTGTATTGGTTTGAAATGACTATTGCTAACATGATCATTACCCAAGAAAATCTTTCCATTTTTTTTTTTTGTTTTGAGAATTTTGTTTAGCAAGCTCTTAATAATCTTTATAAGTTAATTAAAATGATTTAGTAAGGGGTATATGTTACTTGTTCATATATATCATTGATTAAGTTTATTTTGTATGGTGAAATATTGTGTAATTTCCTACTTTCACTCTTTGATTGCCCTTGGAATTTGGAATAGTCACTACCTTTGACATGCATTTCTAAAAATAATGAAGGGTATATTTTTGTACTTTTATGAATCATAAATAGAACACATGGATTTAGCCCATTGAGGGTTCCTAAAATGAGATAATCTAGTTTATCACGACTTCACCACACACATACACACGCATTTTTTTAAGAAAAAACAAATATAATTATTTTCTCAAAAAAAATTAGATTAATTTTAACTAATAAAAAGATTAAACTATAAAGTATGTGATATAATTAATGTTTTATACCTTCTAATGTGTCAAAACTTTTTTAAAGTCACAAATTCTATCTTATCGGCTCATTCTAGTTGATGATACTCATTCCATCGGGTTTTTTTTTATTTGTTCCATTATAATTTGCAAGATTTTCGGAGAGTGAAAAAGTATTGATCAGAAAAATAATGGAAGGAGTGTGGAACCCAATTTTCATAGTTAGAGAGAATAGGTAAAAAGGACAACTTAACAATTAAAGAAAAGTAATTAAGGCGTGTTAAAAAGGAACGTGTGTGGAGTGCCTAGTATAAAAATATATCCCCTTAATTTCCACATACTAACTTTGTCGCAATTAATAAGAATCAGAGATGATACTATGATACGGAATATATAATTATTTAAATTTAATGGAAAATGTTATACATCTTAAATTTACACTTGAAAATGTTATACATATTAAATTTACACTTGAAAATCGTAAAAAGTTAAGAATTCATCAAAATATAAACACTAAATACATTTATTTACGCGTGTTTTTGTCATGAAATCCTTATTTTATACAATTTCTAATAGTATATTTTCAATAGTATATTTAACAATAGCATTACCCTTATATTGCCTAATTGATACTCTGTAATTACTAAAACTCAAAAATATTTAACGCTTGCCAACAAAAATAAAATCCAACCGAAACCACCCAAAATAGGCGCAAAACTTAACGGAACGTTTACCCACCTTCTATAGCCGGTAGTCAATTTTACAACAACGGCTACAAAACCTGCTATAGCCAGTCACCTCGAAACATTCCACTTCAACGGTCACCTTTATATATATATATATATTTTTTTTTTTTAAAAAAAAACCTAATTCTTGCACACTTTTTATTGAATTCTCACTATATATAAATCTCTCATTTTTCATCCCAACAAAAAAACAGAGAAACCCCCAAAAAATCATTAACCAATCTTTCCCATATTTTCTAACGACAAACATTCCCAATTATTACTTCTTAAATTCTGAAAATCAGTGGAAATATTGTTTGATTTTAATTTCCCAATTTAGAAATTGAAAATGCATAGATTATTAATTTCAGTTTTTGTTGGGTTGATTTTATTATGTAATTTGATCACTCCATCAAATTCACAAATTTCTCCTTCACATGCTCCTTCATCACCCACTTCACTCCCTAAGATTTCGAGATCACCGGCGATTTCACCGGTGCATTCTCCTCCGGCGCATTCTCCGGCGCATTCTCCGGCGAAGTCTCCTTCTCAGTCATCCCACATTGTTTCGCCTTCGCCTTCCGAATCACATTCGACAATCTCACCGTCTCCGGCGAGTTTTCCGGCGAATTCACCGACATCATCGTCTCGTAGTCTAGCCCCTCCAACACAGGCACCGGTTTCTTCGCCACCCGTGATCGCCCCTGTTTCTCCGGTGGTCGGAAGTACACCTCCGGTGAGTTCTCCGGCGGAAGTTCCGGCCGTCGCTGAGACTCCGGCGGAAGTTCCGTCGGTTTCTGAGGGGCCGGTATTGGGAATCCCATCGAGTTCCGCGCCACCAGCCGAGGTGCCTTCCGGGATTGTTCCCTCGGTGGCAAGTTCGCCGGGAGTGTTATCGCCCGAGGCGGCCGAGGGACCAATGCCGCTTGCTGATGACTCTGGAGCAGAGGCTAAGTTTGGGGTTGGAAGTATTGTTTTGAGTGGAGTGGCTATTTTGGTTGCCATGGGTGTCTAAGAGATTATTAAGATATGGTTTTAATTAAATTTTAGTTTTAGTTCATTTATTTATTAATTTGTTTATGTATTTATTTTTGGTAGTAGAGATTTATTAGTACTATTATTATTATTAGTACTTCTATTATGATTAATTGATTAGTATTATGAGATATGATTGTTTTGATTGAATGTAGAGTAGTATCATTTTATTATGATGAAATTGATTGTGAGATTAATCATTAAACTCCATATGATTGAAATTAAAACACTTTTTTTTTTCTTTAAACGTTTTTCATGTCATTTTTTTTTTTAATTTATTTTAAATAACAGTTAATTTTCCCATAGACTTTGGGAGGTAGTTGAGAAGATTTTGGAGATTGAATTGTTCCAAATCCAAAGGAAGTCCTTGTATCATTGATATTACATCATACTTCATGATTTATAACACTGGCTTAGGCCTTTTTTATGTTTGTGTTTGTTTGTTTGTCTTTTGTTTTTAATTGGAGACTTTGGTTTAAGTTTACTAATTTATGAGTAGGTTGAAATAAAATGCACCATGTACATGATGAGCTAAGCCGTGGGTTGGTGCGTGCGTGCGTGCATATTAGTTACGAGTACATTTCAACAATTCAACATGTGTAATTTATGCATCTCTAGTCACTTAAAAGTCTCATATTCTTATGTAAGTGTATGGGGAAGCATTTGATTTAGAGATAAAGGTTTTTGGAATATCAATCATTGGTTCGCCAATACTGTATATATGGAGCAATACTTTTGTATATGTGTTTTATAGTCATTAACATCAAATTGTTGTGTGTGGTACGACATGGTGATTAGAGAACATGGTCGTGGTTAGAGGTAAGAGGTCACATAATTATACTACATATAATTTCACTTCAGGATTGCATAGGATTGTTTGATATAAAGGGGTCGAATTAGATTTTGGTACAATTAAGATGCACAGTCTTAATGAAACTTGTCAAGAAGTAAAAATATGTATATATATGTCTCATAGATTTTTTTTGACAGAAAGAGTGGTATATTTTAAATTTGTTTTTTTCTAAAAATTTAAAACCTCTTTTAATACTTTTGAGATATTAATTATGTGACTAGTGACTTTGTTAAGTGGGTTCATTATCGATGACTTTTGTGGTATAGATTGTCCCGAGTTTCTATTATTGATTGAATTTAAATTAATGAAAGCCTTATAAAGATGCATAAATACCTACTCATTACTTATTTACTTTATTTCTCTAAATTAGGACCAACCATGCTACTTCATGCATCCATAATTCCATATGCTAGCATGTTACCAATGTAATATGACTGTTATGGATCAAGTAATACTTTACATGTAATACATATGGACGATTTTAAGTTGTAACATTATCCATGCATAATCCCATAAAATATATGTACACAAAAGCATACAAGCTAAAGATTTTTCTAGTTTTTTTTATATAAGGTAAAAGACTAATGAACGCCCAGATAAAATAATTAAAAGTAGAAATATTAACTTGAAGTAAACATTAATTACATCATTTGACGCGTGATTTTTAGCATCCAGTCATGCACTTCCAAATTAATACCATATTAGGAAATATTAGGATTATCTAATGTTCCGGAGACGTTCGATAGTAAGATCCTTTTTATAAATATATACTCCGTATAATATAAGGAAAATATTATACATAGCCCATATAAGTATTAAATTTACACTTGAAAATCGTAAAAGTTAAGAAATCATCAAAATATAAACACTAATAACACTGATTTACGCGTGTTTTTGTCATAAATTTCTAATTTTATACAATTTCTAAGAGTATATTTAATGCTTATATATAGCCCTTAGGGCTACATATAACATTACCCATAATATAATCATACATTGATCATTAACAAGCTAATCATTTAATTAAAGCAATCATTAAGTGTACCATGGAGCATCATGGGAAGCTTCAATGTAGGACCCAATTAATGAATACTAATTGGAAAAAAAAAAACCAATTGAATGATTTAGCAATGCCCATACTTTGATTGCTTGGTGCTCTGGCAAACAAAAATTAGGGTTAGATATTTTTGTACGAGTATTTTGTTGCATTGCATTCTTATCCTTTGTGGATGACTACTTCCACGTTGGATTTTTGGTACCAAACTTAAGACTTATTCTCTTCATATGAAATAAGATTATCTTGCTTGATTCTAATAAGATTTGGTTTGATTTGATTTGATCTGATTTAGTTTGGTGTTTAGAGAGCCACAAGGGCGGATGGTGAGAATCGATCCTAGGGGAGCTCTAACCACTTGAGGTATCCCTCACTCTCATGGGATCTAATTAGGTTCTGCTCATTGTCTACTTTTCAAATATACTATTTTGCATAAAGTTTTGTTTTGTTGTTTTTTTATTTTATTTTTTATTTTTTTTAATTTTATTATAATAACAGTTAAAAATATTTAGCAATAAGTAAATAGAAATTAAAATATCTAGCTAATTTGGTCTAATACAAATATTTCTAGTTAGGTTTGATCTGATTTTGACTAGAATAAGTAACAGGTATTGGAAATTAGTTAAATAAAACCTATCTTTATATCCAATTTGCTCTTAAATTGATTCGTAATTTAATAGTAAACCTGAATTTTAAGATGTATTCATTTTTTCTTTAAATTCACTTATATCTCTATCAAAACTTATATTATATTGGTCACGATTGAACTTATATCACCTTCAATATTTGTGTCTTTGCGACCAATTTCCATACGATAAATAGGCCAAATTGAATCAGCGTAACTTCTCTAATCAACAATATCGACAATTATGCTAGAGAGTAGATACTTTAAGCTACTAACCTATTTTTAATTGTTATTCATAACTTTAAAAACTTGTTAACATTTTCTAATGGAAATTCTACATCATACCCCTGAGGTATTGACTATTCCACGTTGTGCCCCTACCTTTGAAAAGTTCCTCGCTGTAACCTCAAGCCTCAAGGTCCCAAAAGTGATTAAGCTGTACCCCTGTCGTTATCCTTCCGTCACATGTTGCCGTTAGTGGGGCCCACTTTACATCTATTTATTTTTTTTCTCGATTTTCGTGCTAAAAACGTCGACAATATCGACATTTTTTAGCGGGGCCAAATTGAATCAGCGTAACTTCTCTAATCAACAATATCGACAATTATGCTAGAGAGTAGATACTTTAAGCTACTAACCTATTTTTATTTGTTATTCATAACTTTGAAAACTTGTTAACATTTTCTAATTATATATGAGTAGTTTTATACCTTTTATGGTGTATAGTAGGAAGTCGAGTAGAGGATGTAGCATCCAAATGCAACAACAGATAATATAACAATACGTATTAAATTATTGCATGTGTATTTATTCGTTTATATATATGAGCTGTGAACAGTATAGGTAGTTATCCCTCGTGTACTCATAGACATTTTCAGTAGCCAAAAAAACAAGGTGACAAATTATACGTAAAAACTAAAATATGCCAACTACATACTTTTTTTTTAGCAGGAATATATGCAAAATAGATTTTAAAAAATAATGAATTTTCTTCACTATTTTCCTTAATTTTTTTTAATACAAAAATCATATTTCTCCATCCTTTTTGAAATCTACTACTCCGTAGCATACAACTAAAAATGACTTGCTATACAATGTGCTCCGTCTACTACAAACATTTATACGATAGGAAGTACTCTCTCACTTCTGAGGTTGAGGTGATGGAGTAATGTTATCGTGCTAAAAAATGTTGTCGTATTACTTTAATCAAAGGGAGTAGAAGAGATCGACTGAAGACCGTTGTATACATTGTATATACCAGTAAATATACTTCGTACTATTATACATATAAAATTACGAAGTACTCCGTAGATTCCTACCTTTAAAAAAATACTAGTAAAATTAAATGAATAAAAGATCCAGTGATCCACAAAATACCTGTAAATAAAAAAATATAATTAAGAAATTCTGTTTAAGAAAGATTAAAAGAGGCTTTGATTTGAGAAGTTGCCCATAAAAGCTTGGAACCCAAATCTTTCTTCCACACTCTTTCTCTCTCTAAAAAAAAATTGCCCACTTTCTCTCTCTAAAATCCTTCGAAACTCCTCCAATAATGGCGGGTGTGCTCTGCAAATGCACCCCAAAACGAAACTCATACGGCTTCAATGAATTGCTCTTTGGCGTTCGAAAGGGTCGAAATGGTTTCCGTACTCAACGAAACGTTTCTACCATTGTTCTTCCCCCTCTTTTAAAGAAGAAGTTCTTCAAATGGAAATCTGTAATGGGCAAGAATTCTCCAGTTTTCAGGTCTACTTGATTTTCAGCTCATTTTAGTTTCAATTTTGATTTTACTACTGTTTTAGTTTTATGGGTATAATTTGTTGATGATTATTTTGTGTTAATTTTGGATTATCGATGAAATTATTGGGTTTCTTGAATTATTGCATGCTTTCTTGATCATTAAGTTGAATTATTTGATTGGATGATTTTGGGTTTTTATTTTAAGTCATTGATTTGATGTGGGTTTTTTTTGCATTTATATGTGGTGCCTTGATGATGTATAATATGATTTAGTTACGAAATGTTTATCGGAATGTCAAGGGTTAACTACAATCATTAATCGTATTTCCTAAAATGGTAATTATTTCGGGTTTTATGACAAAATCACGCGTTGATCTGCGTTTAATATGAGCTGAACCTTGGAATTATCTGTATTGATGTTGCCTTGATGTAAAATTGTGAAATGTAGTCATTAATACTAAACTAAAATGGGGATTTTTGGTTTTCTTGAAATGATCATTAATTCTTGGCTAAATATTCAAGATTAATAAATGAGAGTTATGAGTTTAAATCTGGTTTTGGAGGGTCTTTTTGGTGTTCTTGAAATGATCATTAATTCTTGGCTGAATGTTTAAGTCACTCTATACTATTAGGATTAATCTGAGACTGTAAAGATTATATGATCAGAGGGCTCTATTCTGAGAATGTGAAGAGTAGACTTCAATTTTATATCTGGGTTTTTGAGGGTTCTATTTTCGGCAAAGTGGTGTGTAATGATGGATCGAAGTGAAGTTACATAGATGACATGATCTTGTGCGTACTTGTCTTTTTGGGCTGTGGCTATAGGCTAGTTTGTCAACTAATCCATTCCACAATAAGTGTCTCTTGTGGCTGGTTTAATCACGTTAAGGAGTTAGGGTGTGTTCTTTTCATCGTACGTGGGTTTCTGAGGGTTCTATTTTTGGCAAAGTGGTGTGAAGTGATCAATCGAAGTGAAGTTGATCTTGTGTGTACTCTGTCTTTGTGGGCCTGTGGCTATAGGCTAGTTTGGCAACTACTCCACTCTAAAATAAGTGTCTTCATGTAAATTTTACTTACATATGTGTACTAATATTTAACTTAATTCATTTGAACTTATTGCCCCAAAACTTAACTCATATGAACGTACTGTAATTGTAAAGCAAGCTTTGGTAGCTCTTATTGTCACTGAATTGTATTGGACGTATTAGCCCTGAACTTAACTTGGCAGAACAAAACAAAACTTATATATGTAGTGGTTAATTAAGTGGAAACAAGGTGAGGAAATAGAGCCTTTATCTTTTTTGTCTTGTACTTTAAATTTGATTCTTGCATAGGTATTTTAAATGACAACTAATAATGGTTTAATATATTAATTTGCTAATAAGTCAACTTAATTAAATTGACTAGTAAT